GCAAGGACCCAAAAATTCGGCAGCGCTCTGTGCGAAGATTTGCGGATTTTCGCTTTCCACCGTCAATAACGGTGAAGGAATGTGATTTTTGGTCTCGCTGAGCAGTGATAAGGAAAGCTTAGTCGGCCATCGACCTAAAGACAAGACGGCGAGAAAATCCTGGCCTCATAAAGCTTGAGTTACGACCTCATTAGAATATTTGCTTCCTGAGGCACTTGCGAGAAGTGGGCAGACGCTGAAAAGGGCTACAGATGAAAGCTTGGTAGAATGTGAGACCTGGATGAATAGGGAAAAATTGTTATGTTGCATACTAAGTAGTTATACGCTCGGCAAGTGGACCGACCCAGCTGGGTAAATGGAGTAAAATTCAAATGGTGCGTGCAATGTAGTAGAAGGTGCCGGCTGTTGAGGGAAATGGCCGATGTTGCAATTTGAGCAGATATCATCAGCGTGTAGAGTGATATTTAAATATTGTTAAAATTGAAAGATGAGTGAACAAAAGTTTGAGAAATGTCGCGATGAAGCTGAAGTGTTTCATTTGTCCGGTGATACGAGACCAAAAATGTGAGCATTTAAGTAGGTTAACAATGAAAACAAGATTGGACCTGTGAACAATTAGTGGATCTGAGTAGATGATGCGAGCACGCGGTAGGTGCAACAAGCTTTCAAATGTAAGATTTTATCTCAATTGGCCCTGAGAAGTGGAATGTCTGCGATTCTAGCTAGGGTATGTCAACACTGAATTATCTGATGATGGAATGTGAAATTAAATAGATATTCAATCGTTTAGATGCTAGGGAGCTACATCATAACTATTGAAAACTTCGTTCGCCACACATTAAAATTACGCCCGTTACGATTTCCCTAAATACCCTTAGTATGGTTGAAATTTTTTATTGTATAAATATCCTATATCAATAATCCATGAGGCAAATGATTTTACTGCAAAATGTTACTAAAGACCCGAGCAGAAATTAGTTAAATTCTAATAAATTGAATTCGATAACCTAATTTCAAGCATTGGCATAGTTTGGAAGGAAGATTTGTATGAGCGGTTTTGAATAAAATCTTTTATTAGTAATATAACAACGCCGATGGAACACATGTAATTAATTTTTCAGATGATAGTTCATTTTATGTTCCAGTTTAGCGTTCGGAATGTTGTGGCTAAGAAACATGTTCAATATCACTCATTGATATTAATATCTCTGAATACATGTTTTTATTTTTGCATTCCTGCTTCATTTTTGAGTTTCATATCAAATCGCAACTGTAAATTATATTAAGACCTGTTTATTGTATTCTAGTTTTAATGTTCAATTTCTTATTATGTTTTTTTTTATATTCCAAAAAACCTAGGATTCGAGCGGCAGGGGCAAAATCTTGGACACAATATGTGTCGAAAACGCGAGAAAGAAATGAATAGAAGCAATACAAGTCTATTGTACATGTCAATACGACATAAAAGGATCCAATTGAAGTGGCAATGAATTCCTCACACAAGTTGGGTTTGCTGGAATGGCTGGCTGTATTTGCCTTTCACTTGAATTCCTTTGAATAAATCGCTTTGTAGCACCTAAAATCCCAGAAAGTTATTGGATTGTCTAACATTTAGGACAGAGTGATATGGCTAGCTGAAGTTTCGGAATCACTTATGAATAAAAATTGGGATCTAATTGTGATGGTACATAAAAATTTGATGTAAGGAATGACAGGAAAAATATTGCAGCATAAAGCACTGATCTAACTTGCATATATCAGAATCTGATTAAAATTTCCAAAATATATATTAAACAAATTATGTTTATATGCTACTTATTTTTTAACTGACATTCGAAGTCCTATCCAGGTTCTGCACAAGTTAAAAAGATTATATTTCTAGTTATTTACAGATTTAAAAATTCTTGCTGACATGCATAGCCATCACAAGAGAATATTTTTTTCTCATTTTATGGCGGTAGAAATTGCTGAAGTATCTCTGAGGGAATATGCGCGAAAAGTTATATTGTTCACTGAAGCCGAACAAAGAATTGTTCTGTGGGAGATCTCTTTTCCCGCGGCCTTCCTAAAGCGATCGGTTACCTCAAATGAGGAAATGAAAGGAAACTGACTTCGAAAAACTTATTGGGGTTTTGAGCAGATATAACGATGGGCAAAAAAATTGATTCCGGAAGAGAAACGCTGGGAAAAATTGTGCACTGGCATTGTACGTATGGCTCGTAACTAAATATTTTTAAATTATTTTATATTAACTTGGCAAAATGGAAACAGTGTGCTCATTGATTTTGATACGTTTTTGACAATAAACTATTTTATGTTTTGACCGATTTATTTTATGAAATTGACCAAAGTATTTATTACTTGACTGAAACGCAAAAGAGTCTTGAAGATTCAATATGCAAGCCAACTACGTCAATCTGCATGTTAGTTAGGAGGGAATCAACCAATGTTCAATAAAATAAGGCAGTCTCTGCTAATGATAACTTCAAATAAAATATTAATGAAACCCAGTCATTCACATTAAATTGCATAATTAATTGTCTTTAAAGACAATTTTCTATTTGATCACGAAGATGACCAAGCTGATTCAAAAATTGCAAGCCTGTGATTTATTTTTAATTATCGGATGTGATATTTTTGAAATACCAAGCCGCAACAAAATCCATAGCGACGGCGGAACCCAACTCGAATAATTTTTTTGACTCGCGAATATCAAAGAAGCTCAACTGCTGCCATCTCCATTTTTTGGTCGTTGTAATAAGTCGCATGATAAACGTTCAGCTTGTCAATGAAACTGAACTCGAAAGATGCCTCAGAAAAAATTCCAGGCCTCCACAGTTCTTCAGAATCGCGTCCAGAAATAACGAGCCTCGTCGTCTTGCAAAGAAGGCGCCAGCGATTTACTGAACCTGATCTATGAGTCATCAAATGATCTCCAGGGCCCTGAAACTTGTGAAAAATATCCTTCCAAGAGTGATGGCCCTTCCGACGATAGATATGTACATATAGAAACTGTGAACCGGACAATTTCGGCCTGAGATGAAGAGATATCTTTACAAAATCTTACGAGAATATTGAATCGCTTTTAGAGTGCTCTTCGTTCGCAAAATTCTGTTTCGGAAATTTATAGGAAAGCGTCGACGATTTCCTAAATATCAGGAATTAAATTAGGGAACAATATTTTAACATTCTGGACTTTAGAAAAATGCTGAACCGAAAGTTATTCCTCAAAATGAAAGAAGAGGTTTTGTATATTTTCTTATAAATTTGAGGAAATAATTATGTTTCCCGTTCACGAAGAATATTCGAATTTTAACTCGCATAATTCGATTTTTCTGCCGAAATGTTTGAAGATTTGAAGGGAGCTGCGTTCACTTGACCTTCACTTGAATGAAGGAAGGGAGCTGCGTTCACTTGACCTCGTTCTTAACCCCGCGAAGAGTAAAAAATTATGCGTGTGCTTATATTCCAGACTGAAAGCTTTAGTTTCTATCTTTATTTCATTTGCAATATTCTTGCGCTACTTGGGGTTTACTAGTTAAAACAGAAATTCATTTCAAAAATTCGGCCGGTAAAAAGTGTGCGATCAATTAAAAAATAATAAGTGGGACTATATTCTTTTAATAAAGTCATGTTGTCGTACGGTCCTGTTGTTGGGAACGTATGCTAGAGGAGCTAGTTAGAAGTGTTCGTTTTAATCGTTCGTTTGGAACGTTAGTGGATTTCGTTAGAATAATTCATTAGAATCGTTCGCTAAAGCCGTTTTGTATGATAGTGTGTTAGAATATCTCGTTATACATTTATTTGATACTGTTCCCTAGAGATGTTCGTTAGAACATTTCCCTACACAACGGTAGAGTAACATAATATGAACATTTTGGAGGCAAAATTCGTGAAAAAGTTCATCAGAACCCTTCGATGTTTTCTTCCATGGAATAAATGTTGTTAGGAGTCTTCCATAAACACGTTTATAAGGGGCATTCATAAGAATTATCCATTAGAGTCATTTGATATAAGGAACGTTTGCAAGGAACGCGTTCACGTCTAGAAAATAGACGTGCCGCTAGTCACAGTAAATTACAATGCCAGGATAATCCGCCTGTCACAGCAAGAGTGATGTTCACTAGAAACCCTGAGAAAATATAGACCTCATAATCGCCCGAGGCTTGTAACAAGGAAATTTATTAGGGAATTTCGAGCCCGCGCTACTTTAGCAAAGATAAATATCGGTCTCCGCGTTGAGCTTTTCACCTGGTCTAATGTGGTCGTGATTTATGATAAAAAATTGAAATTGACGCGTAATTTGAGATTTATGATATATATATTTAATTTTAGACTGGATGGTGTAACTAAATTTCATCGTGCTATATGAACTCGTTTGATAATTTTTTTCTTGTTAATACCTAGAAAATTTTTGACAATTTTAATGATGACGGAATGCGCAACCTTTATCTTAACAGAAAATTAAATAAATGTTTAATAAAATAATATGTTTATATTTCTACTTATGAAAGATGACATGAAATGAAATTTCGAAAATATTTCTAAAGTGGAATCGATTTATTGTGGAACAGAAATTAACTAGGAAATATCTTCTCCAAATCCTGACTCAAGATATTTTAAGGTACAAATAAATTTTTCATTGTCGAGTCTTGTTTCCACAATTTCTAGTTTTTCAAGGAAATTCATCCATATTATTTTGCTTGTCAGATGAGTAGAAAAAAGTGAGTGCGTCTACTCACCGTCATGAGGCGCGTAGATGTTGAGGTAGAGGCAGTCTTCGCTCTGACGCTCAAGTTTCCGACTCGCAGATCTGGGTGCAATTATTTCATATGTCAATTATTACAATTTACACACACAATATTTACACGCAGGCCGTGAATTATATTATTTTTAATAAAAAAAATGAGAAAAAATGATGTGTGATTCGCATTCATTTGTGTCACAGGCATTTGCCGATAAAGAGAATCATAATTTTCATCAATGGAGTCGTTAATATTTTAAGTTTCATACCTGAGATAGAGCATTCGATCAGGTGGCAGCGACCCTCCTGGGTACCCCAAATGGGGGAGTTGCTGGGGACACACAGGGGGAAGTTCTGTGCATTTCTTCACCGCATCCCATGGCAATGGGGAGCTAGTTGGGGTAAACCGACCTTCCCCTGTAGGAGGGCTGGCGTAGGGTACCCCCAAAAACGCCTCCACGGCGGGGAGGGTGGCTGATGAGTGTTGGCGGATGACTCCTTGTATGGGGCCATACTTGGTGGTCACCACTCTGCTCAACAGCTGGTCGCACGAGCAGGTGGTTGAGAAAAACACCTGCACAACCACCTGCAGCACCAGCTGCCTCCTGGTGCGTTTTAGTTGATACATTGCCTGATTGTCATTAGTCAGGCAAATAGGCCCTTTCTTGCTCCATTATCAATTGAGTTTTTGATTCACACATTTTATCTCTTGTCTTTATTTCAAAATTTCAGGAATGTATTATGGGCCTTATAATTTTTTGGATAAATTTCAAACCTTTTTGACTTCTTCCAAGTTGAAACTTTTCTATGCCAGCACCTCACATGACGCCAAAGCCTTGTGTCACAGCAACAAAGGTTTAAGTTTAATTTCACTCTCACATAGTAGACGTCTAGAATTCCTAATTAGTAAACTTTAAAATTTTCAATTTGAATTGATTATACACTCAACTCCGGCGTTTCTCTCGTATGCAAACATCGTATATTTTAGCATTGTAAAATTTCTATAATATTCTGCAATCGTCGTTTTAATTTACTGTGAACCTGAAACAAATATTTAATCTGTGAAGTTTTGCAGTTATAGGTAACAAATAACTCACTGATAAACCTAAAGCCATTTCTCTGATACGCCCTTCAATAATAAGGTTAGTGGGTTTTTTATTTATTTTCGATCGTGATGAACATAATATAATATAAATTTATTTGATGAAATGAATGAAACGACAAATTGAATCATGTACGCATCTTTAATCCACACCCACCAGTGTTGAAACAGATACAAAATCGTAGGATTATTCAGTTTATCATTCACCTATGGAATTTTTACAGGTGATACATATATGATCATCAAATAGGATTTAATTTTTCAAATAATGAAGAAACTAGTAGTAAAAGACGCTGTAAGATTAATGACTGGCTTTCATTGACAAGTTGATATATGACTTGCATGTTTAACTTCTTCGAATAAAAATTTATGATGCGGAGGATATGAATTCGAAATAAACTTGACGTTCACTTGTAACTTGATTTATTCCGACTCTGATGCATTGGTATAGATCTCTCTGATGATCCTAAGACAGCCTAAATTTAAAAATACAAACAATTATTTTGTCACGGGCATATATTATGATGTTAGAGTTAGATAATTTTTCATTGGTATTACGAAATATAACGCACCGTAGAGTTCCCGGGTCCCTAAATATTGATATTCAAATTTATTTTATATACGTTAAATCACACTATTCTGTCTCAACTCCTGTCAAAAGCCAACCTCACGCAAGTAAGCTGGAGAAACTTGCAGTCTTCTGGGACTGGGATGCTGACAACTCAATTCAAGGAGCACAAATCGTGAATTTAATGGCTAAAAATATTGAATCCAAAATGAGTACATGATATATGCATGACGTGAGCAACTACTGACATTCTAATTCCCAGGTGCTGCCACACGAAAACCCACAAGTGCACGCAAGTACGTAGTATTATTTCAGTACTTTCAGAAAGGTAATGATGACCGAAGCTGCACTTGCTTCTAATTTTTTATCGATTAAGCGTCATGCATTCAAGATGGAAATCAGTAGAGGAAGAGCGCCAGCAGAGAGCAGCCTGCCTCGATAGGGGAAATAGCTTCCGCGGGTCACATTTCATAGATATTTGCTCAAATATCTGTCAGCCGACAACAATCGGCGAAGAACAGTCAGGCATGGAATGAATCTGGAAGTCGAAGTACGATATTACTCGGGAATTGAAGAACACTAACCTGTCAGGCTCCAATTTTAGAGTGACGCGAGCTGCCACGACTGGAGCTTCAAGTCAAATTTAGAAATAATTTAGAACAAAAGTTGAAGCTCCGAAACGCGAATTTGTTTAAATTGATTTGCGACTCATTTTAGTTTCTGTCAACCTTCAGCAAACATATTTTTCGTTTAGAAACTCATTTGAAATTCCAAAAAATTGAGTTTTCTTTTTAATTGAGAAAATTTTTGATAAAATGGTTCAGAGAATTTTAAATCATCAGATCGAGTACTTCGGTACATGCACATGTACAAAAACACACAACTGCTCTATACTTTCTTTACATGATGAACAATCATTATACTAGTAAATAAGTAAATTTTTTAAATCAACTGTCCAAATATATGTGTAATTAAAATAAAGTCTAATTCGGTCAAAACAAAAAATGTATGATGAGAAGGTCTGTGAGATTCCATGTATCCAATTTGAATTACATAAATAAAAATTCAGGAAAAATTACGTTTTTTACTCTCCTATAAAATCTTTTTAAATCTTTGTAATTTTGCAAAAAAAATTAACAAGATTAGTGAAGTTTGATTGATTGCAGAGTCCAAATTAGCCTTGTAAAAGATGAAATTGTAAGTCATATCTGATTTCATTTACTGTAATTACATGATTTGGTACCTCTGTGGTCGTTGCTAATCCGTTGAAGGACCGTACGTATAGTAAATTTTGAGTTATATAATAAAAATCGCATCGTAATCGTAAAAATAATCAGTCGGAAAAATATTTTTTAACCAACTTCATGAGGCAGGTAACGACAGGCTGATTAACGAAACAGAGAATTGTGCGTTTATAAAAGCTGCATGGATTGTGTTGACATCTAAATTACAGCTGATGTGTTGCAGCTGGAAACGCTTTTTCGCTCCAAAGGACCAAATTTTATTCCTGCAAAAATAATTCGTAATACGCAAATCGATTATTCAACTCAAAACAATTGGTAGTGGACAATAATTATCAATTTTTTTCATTATTACGTATTACGGGTAATGCCTGCGCTCTAATGCTGTTCCATTGAATTTTAGAGTACAGAACAGTAGTTCTACTCCTAGTACCGAGCTTTTAATTATCACCGAGTAGCTCATTACATGAAACCTTGATTATATTTGAAAAGTTATTACTGCACGCAATCAATTTAATACTGCACGTAATAGCCTAGTTAAAAAAAGTTAAAAAAAACTTAAAAAAAAGTAAAAAATTAAAAACTGCACGTAATAGCCTAGATCAATCTATCCAACTCAGAATCGGTCACACCGTAAAATTAATTAGTTATTCAATTGAATGGATCATTGTAAATCCTAAACGGATTAACGACAATCTCAACTATGAAATAAACTTAATTAAAATCAAGATTTACAATATAAATTGAATGAAAGGATTAAGTAAAATTAGATGTTTAATTTTTAGTGGTATGTAAGAAATTTTTACTTTTATTTCATTCGTTGATATATTGTTTTTTTTTTAATTGGCTAAGAACTATATAATTTCATATTCTTTTTCTCGTTAGTTGTATCCTTCAAATAATATCCCATATTTTCAAGTTCTATATTTCATCCCAATTTCATTATTTATTATTTACTCTTCCTCGAGTTATGAGAGAAAATAGACATGACCTTAATGTATTAGAGAACAGAGAAGCTTTTTTTTTGTTTGCGGTGTACTGGCGTAGGTCGTGAGGTCGTGTTCTGTTAATCTAGTTTCATAGTATAGCTAGAGGTTATCAGGTTAAATATTTACGTGTTTTCCTGCAGCCACGAGCAACTCAGTTACATAACTCCTTGTTTCTTTTCGTCCATTTTACTAAAGTCATGACTCAGATTATTATACATGCTTCTTAGTTCCACTCTTTCCCAATATTGGGTCGTATTATAATGTGGATGCTTACGTTCACACGTTATAATAAATATTGATTATAGAGTTGCCAACTCTCCCAGAGGTAATGCTGTACCGGAATAATTAGTAAATGCTTCAGTCTTTCCCTTCACACACACTTAATTGCTTTGATGAAATTACATTCGCATTCGAATTGATAAAATCAGCCAAATAATGGATACTGGTAATGTCACACAGTTGTTTGATGGGCTGATGGGCATCCCTGCATGCCCCAATCATAAATTTACAAAAGCTATATCGGCGGCTAGTGTACCAAATTTTTTTCTTAGCAAGCTAAACATTTTTCATTATCCCGACACGTTCTCAACAACCAATATCTCGCTATGGAGCCGCCATTACCGAACCTAAAAAATTATGCAATTTTCCGCCAGTCTTTCCATAGCGACCTGTGATCAGGCCGCATCATGGATACCGAACAGCGTGAAGCCACGGTACAAAATCAAAAGATTTCTTTTTGGCCTGAAAGAGCCGCAAGGAAATAGGTCAACATGCCCATAGGCTTATCCATGAGAAATAAGAGCTGTAAATCTTACATCTGTGGGTCGCAAAGAAGCCCAAAGCATTGGCACGGAAAGTTTTATTTCTTATTTCTTGTACAGAGAAGAGAAGACGATAAATTTACGCGTCATAATATTGAACTGTCACGTGTATTTTGATACTACGTCGAGGAAAGAAATCATTGTGAAATTAATCTCAGTATGTAACGAGACCACAATCGGAATACCAAATTTTATCAACGAAATTTTTCAAATCATTTCAAAAATATTCTGAATCCACTCGAGCTGAATATTTGTAGAATAGTAATTTCGCTACACTTCGTGGTTATAGTCTTTCCTGAAGCTGCGACCATACGATGCGGGCACAATATTCCAAACTGACTGTACAGTGTACACTGCAGGGAGAACACTTCGCTATGCTCAAAAACTAAATAAACAACAGGGAATCCATTTAGCGTTGTAACCTAATTTATTCCTGCGTGGCTGAAGCTGGCAGTCGAAAACCTGTGAAGAAACACAGCGAGGGTTCGAAAGACCATCAGTGCTTTACAGTTATCGCAATCGCATTGCAAGTTTTCGGTTGGTGCAAATGACTTTGAAAGTCACAGAAGAAATAATAGTTCATGGAGACAATATATGTCCATCCTGATTGTCAGTAATTATAGGGCAAAATTTTAATTACAGTGTACATTGATGCGCGTGTGTTCAATTTGATGGAGGAGAACAAGTTACACTAAGAAACCCCCCCCCCCCGCAAAAAATCATGATATGGATACGGTAGATCGAGATAGATAAACATACTTTCACAACAAAATGAGGCCGAAGAATGGTATAAATCGGTGTTTATATTAACATAAAACACTAAACACTAAACACCTAACCACTAAACATTAAACACTGAACACTGAACACTAAACACTAAATACTAAACACTAAACAACACTAAGTA